TGTGATTTCAGGTCAAGTTCATGCGTTGTTTTTTTTTAAATAAAAATTTTTCAGTTCTACTAATTATTTCTCTATTAGAAGTTAATTAACATAATGAGAATTTTTGGCAAGGATATTATGTAGTGTTGAGGAGCAGTAGAATGCGTGGTTCAACCAGTCTTGTGAATTTCCTGAATTGTCCTACTGATTTACTACACGCATAACATATGAAACACTGCCTTCATTCAATCATTCGAAAATGGCTATACGTCCTTGTCTTGTTGTCTATGCCTATCTTGGTCCCAATAATTTGCCATGTTTGTGTGTTAATGAATTCGCGAATTAATACCTTTCAAGAGACAGTCGACGATGGTTTGGATTCATTCACTATGTTTAAAATTTTCTTGATTCTTATGATTATGTGGATGTAGTGCCGATTGATTTGTACACAAAGAACTTTGCAAAATATTTTGAAGGACAGATTTCAAAAAAACAAATTTTCATATAACTTTTCTCTGATCACATCAACAATTTGACAAATAATTGTTCGTGAATTGTTTACATCATGTTGTTAAAGTATAAAATGGTTTACAATCGCATCTGGTTCTATGTTTGAGACGTGTGTGGAGGGTTGCGTATGAAGAGGATGCTCTCACTCTGACACGAAGGTATTCTCCATTTCTTCTTGGATGTTCAGGTGTCTGTTCACAATAATATTAGTGAGTTGACTTGGCGAAAGCCCACATGTCCTACCAACAGTCCTCAGTGCTGAACACCCACCAGAGCCTCTAATTAGCGCAACAGGGAGGTTTAAGTAAGGTTTACAAGGACTGATAAGAATTAACGAACTGTTAAAGGAGATCTTCTTGCCCTCTTTACGCTGATGATTAGACGAAATATCCTTTGGGTAATTACATTGGTCTGGGTAGGGCAGGAGTGATTAGAGGGAAGTCATAGGTGTGGGAATAAGATTAATTTAAACGTCTGAATAGTAAAGTATGAGGACGATTAGTTTTTTTCACACTTCCGTCCTCACTAACTTCTCCAGACCTGTCAGGTGTAAAAATTAGAAAGATCAAATGAGAGAAGTCAGAGGGAGTTCGAAGAAAGCCATTCCATGCAGAAACAAGAATTCAATTTGTCTGCTAAATTTGAGTCAATGAAAGGCGAAGTGGAAGTGTTCATGAGTAGAATAATAAATACCAAGCAGAAGACAAGATTCTCACGAGAGAAGGTACAGAATCCATGGAGTATTTCAAGTCAGGCGAATGCCATATAACCACTAGACCTGACACTCAGATACTGAATAATTTAAACCTTGTCGAAGAAATGAGCACCTCACTAGTTCACTGTTTCCACTTTGGATTTGCGTTTCTCATTAAATAATGATTTCAATAGGGCTATGGAGTGCCGAAGTGTTAAGTCGCCGAAGTATGCCTAACCTTGTGTATTCAATCTAGTCTTTCGGTCTATAACCCATACTTGAAGCTTTCATGCGTTAGTGAATATTTGTGAGCAGATTGTTCTTCTACGTTCTTGTTTGTCAACGTCAGATTGACTATTTCATTTATGCATTGAATGGCCAATTATTTTCATGGATGTCGTATGACTAGAGGTAGTCAGAAATAGCGTAAAAGATAATAATAATAATGATTTACTTTATTCCAAAAACAGTACTTGTGATACAGAATGGAATTTTCAGCATTAATCACAATATTGCATCTAATTTCCTCAAATTATAAATAAAATTAATCACACCGAAAATTTTTCCACATTTACAATAGGGGTGATATCAAAAAAAACATGCAGCATATAAAGTAGAAACAATAATGATAGCAGCTAAGGTAATGATAATAATAATACAAGTGGAAATTGCTGTGGGTTTGTTTCACACAGTATTGTCGATGCGGTATACAAATCCTTGCATGATTTAAAAATATTGAATATTATGTTCTCTTTACATGATATGATGAGGGGAAAAACAAAGATTACAGCAGTCATAGAGATAAGTTGGTGTTTGCAGTTATGAAAGTAAAAACAAAGAATCAACAGGACCATAAATATAATAGAAATAATAAAAGTAAAACTTGAAGGTATATAAGGATGGATGGAGAAGATTGTTTATTTACTAGATGAAGAAAGGTTAGTCAATTCTTGCCTGACGCTATTTTCATCACATAAAATACGTGCCAAGTATGGTATCATAGAATTTGTATACATAGACGTGCAAGCATACAGTTTTCTGAAGTTACTGCTTGTTCTACCTGAGGGGATGCAAGGTGAAAGCTGAGGGTGAAGTGGATGCTCCATGTCAGACAAAATCCCTTTTAACAAATTTACTGCACGAAGTCAAGTGCCTATCGACAACGACGTTAACTATGTAGTCCACTGGGACACCACTCATCCTACTGACAGTCTTCAGCATTCTACGAATTGTGACAGAGTGCTTTTAAAGTAAACCAGGAAAGAATAAGGGTGAACAATAACGAAGAATAGGTAGGATGCAAGAGTTTATGAACTGTAAGAGGAGGGGTTGAGTTATACCCCAGTGCCTTAGCTTCTTAATGTAAAATGTCAGGCGGAATATTTTACTGGAGATCGCTGAGACATGGGAAGACCAGGAGAGATCAGAAGAGAGAATAATTCCAAGATACTTAATTTCTGATTTAGTTCCTATATCATTGTCATCAATCTTACAACTGTCATGAGAATCGACGGCTTCTTTTAACTGTCGTTTACATCTTAAGCTGAAATTAACAGTTTGACATTTAGAAGGATTCAGTTTAAGACCGCAAGACTCAGACCATTTACTGACTACCGACAGAAAGCTATTTATTTTGGTACAATCTAGCTGGGAGTTAACAGCCATTGAAACAGTTAAGTCATCAGCGTACTTCACAAAGTTTATTTCATCAGACTGAGGCAAGTCATGTAAGAAGAAAGAAAAAAGAAAAGGAGAAAGGACAGCGCCTTGAGGGACACCAGCTTCAGTACGCAACGAAGTGGAAGACTTCCCTTTATACACGATGTACTGCTTTCTTTCTGAGAAATAAGAATGTAACCAGTTAACAGCCCAACATTCTGTTTGACTTGCAGCAAGTTTATTTAATAAGATGTCTCTAGGGACCGAGTCAAAAGCAGATGTATAGTCTAGGAAGGCACAACGAAAAAATTTAGCCCCTTTTTCTAGACTGGAAGCAATGTTATGATAAAGGACGGCAGCTGCATCTAAAGTGCTTCTACTGTGCTTATAGGGAAACTGTTTTGGGTCATTAAAGGATTTAAGAGAGGGTGCAAGACTAAGTAAAAGTAGTTTCTCCATAGTTTTCAAAAAAGGAGAGGTAATAGCAATGGGTCTAAATTTGACACATGCTCCAGTAGACGATTTAGGTATGGGTACAACTTTAATGTCTTTCCAAACAGCAGGCACAACATTACTGGAAAAAGATTTGTTAAACAGATCAGTGAGAGGGTAACATAGAATATCTGAACACTTTTTGAAAATAATACTAGGTACATGATCTGGACCTAAGCTCTGGGAAGGGTTCAGAGACTTGAGGCACTTTTGAACATCATTTGTGTTGAAACCTGGAAAGGGGCTATTATTAACACTAGTGATACTGGGATGCATGGAATTTGAGGGAGAATAAATAAAAGATTTAATAAGAGTACATACATCAGAAGAATACGGAATATTGTTCATCTGCTTACCACCAGTGATTTCCTTAAATAGTTTCCACATATTTGAAGCATTTTTGCAGGATATGAATTTCCGGTTATATTTATAACATTCAATCTCTGCATTTCAGACTTGATAAGGAAGTTAGTTCTTTTTACACCACTTTTATTTTTCATTTTGTGCACTTATGTTGACAACATTGAAGGTAGGAATTATGAATGAATTATGAACGCTCAATCGTGTCAATTACTTGTTTAATCACACTCTATCTCATATTTCTAATGACTGCATATTCCAGCTACAATAAAATGACAATCCGATTAAATGTCAATCTTTCGCGTAATACTAGCGCACTCAGCACACTGTCTGATGGAATTCCGACTTGTCTACACGGAATATTGTATTCTGACACCCGGGCAATGTTACTGTGGAGCCTCATGAATAGTTTATTAATAGGAATTAACGTGAAACATTCCTGCTGAGAATATGCCAAAATGTGTTCAGTGTTGAACTGTCACGAATAAGAAATCCAGCTTCAGTTGCAGATAAGTCAGGCTAATTCAAGTCGTCGCAAAGTGGGCTGACTCCCTGAATGTGCTCATCCGCTATGTATTGCGGGTGTGCTTTCTTTATGTGGACGCCATCATATGAATTCGGCCTACTATTTGGATTGAAGTGTTTCTGCAGATCGATAAAATCTATAAATCATTACACCTATCAGATTCCACTGATTCATTATATGAATCACTTGACATTATGAGAGGTTGTTTCACTCACCAATCACAACACCCACAGTCTTCCACAAATGAAATATGAAATCGTGATTATTGTAATCAACCAATTACAACAATAACTGTGACTTTTGGTTGTGGTATAAATAAGGGGACGGAAAGTCAGTTGCCATGAGAAGATGGTTTACTTTGCATACAGCCACATAGCTTTCGTCACTCTGTTGACATTTGCAGCCGTAAATGCAGGTAAGCATTTTTTCAAGAGATGGTATATTTATAGCTTATTTCCGCACACTGTGTTTGCTTTATTCACTGGAACTGCTGAATATTTTGTTGGCCACCCTCATGGGTCATTCTCTCTGGTTGAGCCTTTATTCCAAAATGGTCAGTTTTGTGTATGCTCTCACCTCAAATTCATCTTGGTTAGTACATGGTGACCAGCAGCATAACCACCGAGACGTCTTTTAACATAATTTTGATTCGGAAACCGTGTATATTAACACTTTCACAGTGACACGTTATCGCATTTCGATAATGTGTCAGTCTAAAATTTCCTAAGATTTAAATAGCTTGAATACACACTTTGAGATGATGTGTATTTGGACTGCAATTACATACAGAAAGTGCTCAAGAGGAGTTTGATGCATTTCAAGTGGAGAAATTGTTCTAATAATTTTCAGTATTCTAAAACTTCTCCTCTGTATAATAACAATCGTTTGCATTTCTTCTTGTGAATTCAAGGTCAATCGTGGAATAAACAGAGCATCACAAATATGCTTTCTACTACCAACAGTAAGCACATTTTCAATGCGTTTTATTTGATTTTATCACTTCACTTGAGAATTCATCGACTTGCATTCGGTGATCTTAAGTTAATTTGATTAATTTCCTTGAAGAAGTTCGGACCAGATTGTCGAACGAAACGTTGGAGTTAATCATTTCAATTTCGCTGAGATTTTACAAATATAACTATATAGATCTTACTTTCTGTTTGACAACTCATACAATATATTCTCGTTTCCTTACAGACAATATACACGGAGTCAAGTGGATAGTGGATGGCGCAGAAAAAGCAGTACAAATTCGTAAATGTGAGTAAAAAATGATGCCATATTTTTGACAATGTTTCAACGCTTACGAAAATATGCCATGAATTTCGCTTTCGAATTTATTACTATGATGACAAAAATATTTGATTTCATCCTCTATGTAGCAGATAGTAACTGAAATGAAATACACAACTCCACATGCTTTTAACATTCAACGCTTTCGCTTTTCTGTTTTCTTAGACAAGATTCTCAGTCAAAATCCAAGCTTACAAGGAGATTTAGAAAAGTGTAAGCAAGTTGAGTTTTTGAAATGATGGAGGATCTGTTTTAGATATGAACTGCCTGAGAACTGCATACAAATACATTTGGGGAGAGGTCGCAATAGACAGTGAGTTCTACCAAATTCCTTTGATTCGAAATATCATTTTATTCATGAAATTTGTTCACTACATAGACTATTCATTTGATAAATCTGAAGTTGGTTTCGTGATACACTCCCTGTTGATGATTTGCTTTCTCACTCACTGATCATTTCATTAATTAACGCTTATGCAACTGCCATGAGATGCATGTTTGAAATTTTGTTAACTGAAAATTGATCTGAGATGCTGAATATATAAACTTCTTTCTAACTTTCCCAGAAATCGCAGACCGCCTAGACAATGGTAAGCTAAATATTTTGAATCATTTCTGTACTTACTTACCGTCATAATTATTCCTCGTCAACATTCTGACTAATAGTCTTCTTCTGGCATATATCAGCGCTCTACCATCACAACTGTTACTATTTCACTCCTGCCTTTTATTCGCTAACATCAAATAAAGATGGAGAATTTCCTCATGCACTTGACATGAGTAGGTGCTCGAGGACAGTTGTTCGACTGATGTATTTCTCATATTTCGTATATTATCTGACATTCCGTCAACTGGTAAACATAATTTATTCGTCTTAAATCTGATTGTATTTACCTTTAACATGCATAAATGTGTATTATATTGAGAAGAAGAGAAACAGGTTTATATGTGTGACAATCATTTATTTACAGAAAATAACTCCAAATTCGACAAAAATGTGAACTGTAGCCGACAAGTAGCCGTACAATATTATAGTAAGTAGCACTGTATTACGCTAACCAGTCTGAATTGTTTCGTCTGTGTTGAAAAGCGATTTTCGAAATTCCAGTTTCAAGATAACTATTGTAAATTTGAGTTAATAATCAAACTGTGTTTTACTCTTACTCACCCATGGATAGCGATGAAGCAGAAGTACCCTTTAAACAACTGTTTCAAAAATATGCCTTCAGCGCCCCACGAAGGTATTCGTTTGTTCCTTTTTTTTACATTCTTGATGAAATGAATAACATTTTCACATTCATCTACGATGAGGGTATATTTCCACATGTCACAATACTTTCATCATGATCTGAATTCATGAACATCCACCTCTCAGTGTACGATAGTCTGTGATGAGTATTTACCAAGAGTCAGGTAATAATGTCTGAAGGAGGATGAACAAGTTTGGTGTTCAGAATGCTTTTGGGCGTCTACAAATGCAACTGTTGAGATAATGTGATTGTGAATAGAAATACACACAAAAAAAGACTATTTGTTGAAGGCGAAACTGATCGAGTACTAATATAACGACGACATGATGACTGAATTTTGAAAGTTGTGCATTCTTAACATAATCCAAGTGGATTAGTTTGTAGAGTAGTCAGCTGGTTGAATCTGTGCGCAACAAACAGATTGTTTTGCATCATTTCATGTCGCATAATTTCGAGTTTCAACGTCGTTTTATGATTGTGAGATATTCACTCTGCAAGATATTCATTCATGAATCATTTCAGATCTGCATCAACTGAATAGGCTAACCCGAATACTATTCGACCACAAGCACTGGGTTAGCATTGAAGTTTGTGAGTTCATTTTCTCTGTTTGATTAAACTTCACAATTGAACATTTCTGTGAGAAAATAGTGTAACGGTTGTGATTTTGTTGCGCGGATAGTCAGTGCCTATCTAATTTTAGTTATCAGACAAACGTAGTGATGGACAACAGACCTTTTCACTGGTCGATTAAAATATTTATCAACCTTTCTTATCATTTCTAGTTTTCAAGAATCTATACGAAACCCAATTGAAAGAGTTGGCAGGTGAGATTTATTTTACATCATATATACACATTATAGGATACGAAGGTCTGTTATCGGGTTAGTGACTAGAATGTGAAAGCCACAAAATGTTAGTCAGTCTGGATGGAGGATGATGAGTGGGCAAAGAACAACACAGGATGCAGAAATTCACCGCAACAATTAGATAATATTTTTCATCGTCGACTATTCTACTATCTTTCGGTTCAAATACTGTTTATTGAATGTGTGGTTCAAATGACAGCCTCGAATACTCCTGTTTAATCGGATGGTGAAATCATCATGAGTGTTGTTGTAGGTTGCCGTAATCACATTCTCCAATGATCACTATCGTAGTGGATCACAATAGATGGTATGGTGAATGTATGAGAATACACCCGCGCATTTCAAAAATGTCACTGCGGCTATGCAAACAAGCTGGTGAAATTCACACAACCCATACTGAATAATTGAAATGCAGCAAGTCAATTCCCTTGAAAAATGATGGATATGGAAACCATCACTCACTGAAAATATTCGGAATTCTCAGATTCTATGAATAAGCGCACAGATCACCATCAATCATCCTCCTTCCCACAATTAGCCTTTCTCGATTATTTCACCACTAGTCTTTCATCCAATAATATTGCTAACTGATTTTATTCTCATACAGGCTATTGAAGACAAGTACCAGGATGAATGTAAAAGTTGATGTAACACTGAATACATGTAGATTGTAGAAACTTTCGTAAATTTTTCATTTTCAATTTAATTAATTAAATAAATCTTTTAACTGCTGCAACGCTTTCTCTTCATGAATTCACACTTCATTCAAGCGCTGATTGTGTTGTGCTTTGGCAGTAGACGTCAAGTTGAGTGAAGAACATGTTTTTAAACTAGCTGCTTATCGACTAACATAACGGTGGCGTAGCCTGATCAACACGTTTCCTAGGAATCCCAGTAATAATAATTATACTAAGAGTAATTTCAAAACACAGATATGATTCCACTTCTCATTATGGATATATGTTCCAGATGGAACATCAAGATTCAAGAGCACTTCTCCATTTCAAACCCATCGCTACAGTCCTTTCTAACTACAAAAATAGTAATACTGATGAAACCTATTTATTCCAAACAAAGTGAAGTTGCTAGCGTGTTCTAAAATATTCCATCGCATTTCCTCGTTACATGACTCATCAAATGTGAATGTACATATTACGATGTTGATATTATCAGCAATGGGAAAATAAATCGAAAATTAACACATATGCTGACAGGAATATATTTAGGATAGCTGAAATAAACGGTGGCGTTTATTTCTTGAAAGCATTCATGTCGAACACATCTCTCGTCTCTCACATGAAATTCCAGTCAAATAATCTTTCATCGAACTAGTATATTATGTCGTCTGAAGATATAGTCTCTTACAGTTGCTTGTATTACCACATGAAGAGATGTAATAGGATAGTTATGAATGAGGAGAGAGCTGTGGTTCTGGCAAGAGGATATTCGCCAATTTCTAGCAAGAATTGATGCGCCTGCCCGAAACAATATTACAGCGTGTACGTACAGGATGATGCATCGGCGGCACAGTGGTAGACTGCTCGCCAATCACGCTTAATGTGGTCTGTATTTCGATCCCCGACCACGGACGAACTCCTTCACTTCGCCAAGACAGTAATAAGACTGGTAAAGAGGGAAGGTTGGGCATGAGGCTAGCAACTTCATCCTGTAAAACGAATCATCACTGCTCCAGAAACGTGAAGCCTCTATCTTGAAGTCCTATGTTCTACTGGCAAAGTAAATGAATTATAAAGGCGTAAAGAAAGGCTACACACGCTGCCTACAGCTTTGACGCCCCTTACTTTGTGACAAAGTCATAGTCAAGTAGTGGAGGTGAGATCAAATGAGAAAAATGTAGGAGGGTGGGAAGTTAGTATGCAAGAGTAAACAGTTTATCAAAGTAGAAGTTGATGGATTGTGATAACATATTCATATAATTATTAATATTCCCTTTGCTTCCGAGTGGAAAGAAGCGCTTCAGGTACACTTCAACACTATTTCCTACTTTCTGCTATCCTCTTCACCTGGGTACACGATTACCCATGATCTCCGTTCTTATGATCACCTTTATGTCACCTTTACACAGACGACTCACTTGTTGCCCACATTTCGGATTACACTCGACCAATCGCCTGGCGCGATGACCTACGAAGGCCTCCTTAATTTATGCTAAGTCTATCTCCATTTGCTCCCAGCCAGGATTTCTTATCACTAATTATCTCTGGCTGGGCGTTTGACCTTCAGTGTGGAGCCAGCGAAGTAAGGTGTCGATAAAAGTCTGCAAACTGTTGGAATTCCTTTCCGTAATTCGCTGGCCACGTTTCTGACCCGTTTAGAAGGACTGAATGATCGACTTGACATTGGTGTTGAAAATGCGACACATGTTCCCAATGCTTAGGCAGAGTGCAGAAGATTTTGAAACTCGTTTTAGGTTGATGAAGGCTTATCTTGCCTTACCTTTCCGATTCTTGCCTGATTTGACATTTTCATCCGTTCCGTGAGGTAAGGAGTTAACTTCTGTTAAGTCTCTCCTGTTGATGGTAATTGAT